GAGGTGTGCTCTGATTGGCCAGCTATCCAGTGCGTTGTGATTGGCCGAATTCCTCAAGCGTGTGACGGAAATGTTACGTCCCTTACCATATTGTGATGCATGTGGCAACCACATGTGACGACCCCAGGCTGGACTTCGTTTCGTCCACGGTGAAAGCCGATCCGTGTATTTCCTCAGCGATCAGCACGGATCAGCTCTAGGCATGACGAAGCGGATATCATCCTCTTTTGGAAGGCCAAACAAAGTAGTTTCGCTTTCAGAACGAAACACACAGCTTCTTCACAACATGGCAGCGGCGGCAACAACAATACTACAGAGACAATAAAAGTTATGCCTTCTTTCTTTGCGTGAACATTTGGGCGTCGTTATGCAAATCTTCCCACATCGTGACGTAGACACACAAGACGCATGTGAGAATGAGCCGTTTTAGGTAGGCGTGGTTGACTCTTAACTTTTATAAAGAATATCTCTTTGGATTTGAGACTTTAGTCTTTGCAACTTTACAGATCTTCTTTATGCACCAAGAGCTTGTAACACTTCAAAGAGAAAGGAAAAATTTAAATCGCATCATATGACCCCTTTAAGACAAGCTTATTGTGGTGCAAGTTATTTATCTAAAACAGTATTGTGCCTTTTAAAAACACTTCCTTTAAAAAACACTTTAAAACTTCCTCTTTATGGGTTCTTTGAGGATTTATTAGGAAAAGAAAGTGTTAACATGATGTACTTTTTTTCCAAGTCTTGTTTTCTTTAGATCATGTTTAGCAGCCATTTTTATGAATCGCAAGGAAGATATTGGCTCGGTGTACTCTGAATTTTTTCATTGGAAGAAATTTTTCCAGCTCAGATGACAGCTCAGGAAATGCAGTGCTAGATTTAGTTCTCTGCAAGCTTGCCTGTCTTTTAGAAGTTAATTCCTATTGTTTGTAATCTGATTGACTGATGTGCAAAAAGCACTTGACAAGCAGGTTGCACGCAACACCAGACGAGCCCCCGCGTCTAACCTACTTTGCTCAAATCAGATGCTTTTCATGTTAATGTTTCCAAAGTGAACTTCTTTAATCTATCATCTATGTTTCATTAGCTGGACGTTGTTACCTTTTTATGTGCATAAAAGTGAAATCTCTTAGTCAGACAAGCTTGGGCAATTAAAATGAGCAAATAAAGCTGGCGAGAGGATTTCACACCCCACTGCTGGAGACACTGAGCTAATTCACTGGCTTTGATAATAGGTAATGAACTCGCATTATTATTCAGGGGGGCTGCTAGCTAATTGCTTTCTGTGCTCTCCCATGGTTGGACAATAGGCTTTCTCTGCTGATAAGAGATGCACCCCTGTCACCCCGCCGATGAGTGTTCTCTGGCGATTGCAGCGATGCAGGGCCCGCAGTTTGCTCTAAAAGCTCTCCACCGAAATAGGTTTACGGTGCCAGCGCCATGATGGACAGAGCCTCTTAAGACCGCGAGCCGCACGCTTCGCTGATTGCTATTGAGTGTGCAGATGTTGGAAGCTTGTCGGGCATTTTCAGAAACTAGTTCAAAACAATTGGTGCACGAATGAAAAGTTGGAGAGAGAGAGAAATTCTGGTGCAATTTAAGAGACGATAACTTTGTGCTGAGTCACCGTCTCAGCGCCCCTGTGTATTTTAAAAAGATAAATTCAAAATGTTTTGGCCTTTTTTGCCACATTGATAAAAAATAGTGAATGATAGGATAAGGTATGATTATGGGGAGAGTAGGAAACAAGATCAGAAAAAGTTGCAAGCTGGAGTCAAACTCGTGCTGCCTACACAAGCACAATGGCTCAGTCAAAGAATGCATGGAGGTTAGCCCTCCAGGCTACAGCTTCGACCGTCGGTTTTTACGTAACACTTTATAGTAAGGTTCTGTACATTAGTTTTAGTTAATAAGTGAAGTGTTGTGAAATGGCAATAAACATGCATTTATTACAGCATTTAGTAATCTTGTTTGATTTACATTTGCATGTTATTATTAATTATTTGTCATTGATGTATAATAAAAAAAATAGTTTTGATATTTCATTTTAAATTAAGACAAAATAAAAAATATATTTTTTTTTTTAATAATTTTGTTAACTGTTAGTTTGCATGTTAACATATTCATTTTTACACTTTCAGTATTAAACATCTGTTAGTATATGTAGAAATTAACATTTAAGATTAATAACCAGCAGATGAAAAAGCTGTAAATGATTGTGCTTTATTATTAAAACAAATAAAATGTTAATTAAATGATTTAAATATAATAACTAAATGCTAGAAATATCAATTAAATATTAATAGTATTGTTGAATTCAAGTTTATTTGTGCAAATGTTTTATTAAAGTGTTACCTGTCAATGACTGATGAAATAAAAAATATTAAATTGCTGTTAGTGTTCATCGTCTGTTTGATTACGTCTTTAATTGATTTTTCCGTACATTTCTGCCATATGTACATTAACTGACAGTCACCACTGATAAGCTACTACTAAATATTGTAGAAACTTAATTTTCTGTAAAGTTGCTTTGCAACGATTTGTATCGTCAAAAGCGCCATATAAATAAACTTGAATTGAATTGAAATAAAAAATAGAAATAAAATACAGTAAAATTTAAAATAAACGTAACATTTTAACTGATAATTTGCTTATGCATAAAGTGCATAATTTTTTTTAACTAGTGTTAAAATGCTTTTTAAAACTTTACATTTTTAAAGCATATGTAAAATTTAACATTAAGATCAGTGTTGGGAGTAATGCATTACAAAAGCAATATTACAGTAGTATATTACGTTTTGCTGTAACGCAGTAATATAACGCATTACTAATAAAATTTGGGTAATATTATTACTCGTTACAATCTCAGTAACGCAAGTTACAGCAACATATTTTACCTCTAAATTAAGTGGTGAATTTACTAACACCAGAGAAAAAATTCCGCGGGTAAAATAGTTTGTCTATCTTCTGTTGCTGGAATTAGATGTTTGAGGTGACTGCAGAGAAGGAGTCTACATTTGTGAGATGGACACACTCCTGTTACTTTCAGTTTATCGGAGAAAAGGATAAGAATGCATAGCAATATGTGCAACACCAAACTCTCAACATGGAGAAATAGCACGAGTAAAACCTGGAAACACCTGGACTGGTGCCACTAACACTAAGCTATCGGAGAGAGCTGTGGGGTCGGAGAAGAGAAAAAAGGTGGCGGACGAGTGCAGACAAGCAACAAAAATTAAGTTTAACTAAAATTAACAAAATCTGTTTTTATTCAATCATAGTCTATATGTAAAATGAATGAATATGCGAAATATTTGACTTAAATAGCCTAATTAACAGATTAACAAAACAAAAGGAAAAGACTGAGAGATGCTGTTGAGTTTGGTTGGCGTGGCACTCTACGAAAGTCCACGGAAAGGAAACCGAGATGACAGAAATAAAAGTAAACACATTGCAGTTTCGAATGATCTGTATGACCAAAGATGACGGAATATTTTTTTGTTGTTTGTTTCCGCTGTTCGATCGCGCCGGCGCCTCCCGCACACACAGCATTGCAGTTGGCTTGTTTAGCAACTTATATTTTTCATTCTTGTTTTCTTCTGAAGCTGTTCAAAATTGCCTATAGGCTAGGTATGGTAACTAGTAATATATAATGTATTACATTTTGGAAGTAACTTGCCCAACACTGATTAAGATTAATAACCAGACGATAAATAAATGCAATATAGTTATTGTGCCTTGTTACTTACCTTCATATAAAGTATTGCCTGTATCAGTGACAGATTTGAGTGTTAATTAATAGTTTAGATTGACATGATGGAAAAGCCTATCAGGTTATCAGATGCAGGCAGCCTGTTTGAAATGATGCTGTCTGTTTGATCCTTACAGGTCTGATGGGTATGCCCTCGGAGTCGTCCCAGCAGACCCACACCTCCTGCTCTTACCAACACTCCCCCAGCACCACCATCAGCACCCACCCTCACAACAACCAGAACAGCATCAATAACTCTCACCCCAACAACATCCCCAACAGCGGTAGCCAGGTGCCTCTCTCCCACCCCCCTCACTCGGCCCACAACTCGCCCCACGGACAGCACCTCTCCCAGCATGGCCCTCACACCCAGCACAGCCAGCACCCACATACGGCACACAGCCAACATCCCCAGCACAGCCAACACAGCCAGCATGGGCAGCATCCCTCCCAGCACCAGGCCCACGGCCAGCACACACCGCAGCAGCAGCACCAGAATCTCTCCCACCAGCCTCATCCTGCCCAGCAACAGATGCAGTGCAACACCGGTAAGAGTCTGTGTGTCTGTGATAGTTCTCGCTATCTGATCGTCTCTCTTGCTTTCTGTCTCGAACCCTCAGCATACTTACTTTCATGCTGGCATTGCCCTGACAGGACGATTTATTCAGGCCTCTTCTAACAGTCATTTATTTTAGATTAAGAAATTTATGGCAACTTTGGAGCAGTCAGCAGTAAATCATAGGGTGATTTATACAGCTCCTCTAATGAGAACAAAGCAAATGCTGCACACTTCAGAGAGCAGGCCTGTAGCAGAGGGTTAAGGCTCCCCCTACTGCCTCAAACAGGAAGTGCACAGCAGCTTTCACACATTCAGAGTTCTGCTGTCTGCTGTGGCCTTCACTACCTTCTTGTTTTGTCTGCAGGTCTTCCCAGTGACTGGTACCCCAACTTGGATGCGTTAAAAGAAAGCTGCCGCATCGCCAGCAGCTACAACTGGGCTGATGTTGATCTGTCACCCTTCCAAGGTATAATCAGAATGTCTGTTTATATACTAAATTCACTGTTGTTGTTGTTGTTGTTTTTATCAAGAGACTAAATGCTAATGAAAAAGTTCATCATTTTGTTTTTTTAAACTGTAAATTTTGTATTATTTCCGCTTGTATGATATATAATGATGCATTGTGAGTAAATATTGTTATATATGTATATGTGTGTGTGTGTATATTTATTTTTATATTTATATATAAAAAAGCTAAATTGTCTAGGCTAAATATGCAATGGCTAATTTGAGTAGTTAAACTAAAAAACTGAAGAAGCTATTTGAAAAAAAGAACATTGCTAAATAAAGAACAAAGGACATAAAGAACATTGTTTCATTACTTACAAAATTAAAAATGTTTGTGTGTAAATAATGAAACTCTAAGCAATGTTCTTTATTAATTCACAATCACTGGAAAATTGCTTATTAACTTGAACAAAGGACCTGGTCAGCTATTTCTGAGTTTTGTTTTGTATATTAACTCTGCATTTAATTTTAAAACAGTAGTGTTTAGCAAGCAGTTTCATTTTAGTTTTGAGAAATCAACTGGACAGACTGATTAAATAATCTGTCACTGTTTTTCTGAAGGTTTGAAAGAGAGCATGAGGCAGGCGGAGCTGAATAACTGGTCTCTGGAGCCCACTCAGATTGCAGACCTCTGCTCCTCCATCAATCAGTTCTTTGCTCGCACTGGAATCCAGCCACAAGCGGCAGTGCAACCTCCAGTGTGCCACGGCTCCATGCATCCAAAACCCAACCCACACATCAACACAGGTGAGCAGACTACAATCCACAGTGTCACATATTAAGACTGCCACAATATTAACATAGTAACATCAGTGTGTTTTTCAGGAAACATGTACATGGACTCGAGACAGAGCTTGAGTTCAATGATGGGTCCGCCGGGATATCCTCATATGCCGCCCATGAGCAGCGCTGGCCCCACTATGACAGGTCCTTGTCCTTTTCAGCTTTTACAACTGTGGCAGGTTGTGCATCATGTTGAACAGGATGCAGTGTTTAAAATAAAAAAAAATGTATGTAATACTATCATCACAGATTTTACTATCACTCATACTTGGGATTAGAGAACAAACCCCTAACCTAAAGAATACATAATATAGTCAAATGTTTTCTAAAAATTAATTAATTCCTGTAATGGCAAAGCTGAATTTTCAGCAGCCATTCCTCCAGTCTTCAGAGTCACATGATCCTTCAGAAATCATTCAAATATGCTGATTTGGTGCTCAAGAAACCTTATTATTCATGTTTAAAACAGTTGTGCTGTGAAACTGTGATAACCTTTTTAGTGGAATTCCTTGATGAATAGAAAGTTAGAAGTACAGCATTTATTTGAGATAAAAAATAGTCCATGTGACATCAAAAATTATTTTCGTAGCTTCATAAAATAAAGGTTGAACCACTGATGTCACATGGACTATTTTAACAATGTCCTTACTACCTCTCTGGGCCTTGAACGTGATAGTTCCCTTGCTGTCTATGCTGGGTCAGAAAGCTCTCGGATTTCATCAAAAAAATTAATTTGTGTTCCGAAGATGAACGAAGGTCTTACAGGTTTGGAACGACATGAGGGTGAATAATTATGGCAGAATTTATGTTTCTGAGTGAACTATCCCTTTAAAGGTCCCATATTGTACACCTTTCTGGAGTTTTATTTGAGGTTTTGATGTCCTTAAGAATATATATTTGCGGTATAAGTACCAAAAACCATCTCAATATATTTTTACAGCTCTTTTCTCAGGAGCTCTGCTGAGAACAGGTCGATTTTGGTCTGTCTAATTAATATTCATGAGCATCTCTTCTGATTGGCCTGTTGTTTTCTGAGAGACGCACGGCCAGGCCAATCACAGGTAACTAGGCTCAGCGACGTCACTGCGCTAGCTGGAGGCAGCAAAACAAAGGGAGGCGGTGTTTTATATGTTCATATGCAATAAAAAAAACAAAAAAATTGTGAAAAAAGCCAGGAAATTTCAGTTTTGACAATATGGGACCTTTAAGTCATGCATTTGAAGGAGCTGAGCCATATATAGTGACCAGGATATCAAAGAGATGCCCTGGTTATTCCCAAAACACCCTAGGAACCACACTTTATCTAGTTAAGGCATAGCAACACTGTAAAACACATTCACAGCAACTACATAGAAACAAGCATCCACACCTTTGTGTTTCGTTAGCAGTTTGTATTGCATATTTCCACAATATGAATCGAAATAGTTTTCTTAAAAAATCTCTGCACGCTAAAGCATTGTATGTCGTGACCGTTCCCCTCTGCTCTGTCCTCAGGCCATCACGCTCAGATGAACCAGCAGCATATGATGCCTGCTGGAAACTTCCAGATACGCCGCATGCCTGCCGACGACATCCAGGATGACTTTGACTGGGACTCCATCGTCTAACCCAGTCCCCGAGAGCGAAGAGTGGTGCAGACGAAACGAGAGCGGAGCGTATGGAGGCAGTGTGTTTGTGTTACAGAGCAAGAGGGCTGGACCTGAGGTGTCTGCATGCCCGTGACAGAAGGCAGATTGGAATGGGACACTTGAAAAATAGTGCAGGTGTTGTTCATTATGACCTGAAAGAGACTCCTGTGTTCCTGGTGTTTTTATGAAACAAAAACAAACAAAAAAAAGATATTACTTTGAAGACAATCACATTTACTAGGACATGCTTAAGTGATCGCTTTTATACTTGTCCAAGGGGCAAGTGGTTTGTTTAAGTCAAATGTCTCCCGACCCACAGCCTCTCTGCAAACTTGCTAAGCTCGCCCCTGCTCTTCAACTGTTGTTCTGTGATTTTTCGAGTGATTGCATCCGGCTTGTTCTCCCCTCTCATGGTGACAAACTCAGGCCTCGACTGCCTATCAGACAAGATTGGCTCCCTCATTTGTGTTGTGAAACTTCATCTGAGATGCAGGGCACTTTTCAGAAGAGGGTCGATGGTGCAGGTAACGTGACACTCGAAGCACCTGCCGTCGTTCAGGCACAAGTAGCCAATTTTTTGCTCCTCTGACCCTACACACTGTAATATGCCGACTTCGCCATGCATCCAAATCCAGCAGATTTTACTGATTCTTAAGGCTCATAACAAAACGTGTAAGCCACATTACCTGCAGTATTTGTACTTGTGTATCTTTGCTGTCTGAAGTGTGTCATGTTTTTTGTCACTAATAGTTTTAGGCTAGTCTGAATATGAAAATGAAAATTCATATGAAAATGATATCGATCCAGACCTCACTATTATCGATTTCCCTAATCGCTTTACGTTTGCATGTACAATCCTCTTTCTGTTGACCATCGTCCGTCAACCTGTAGTCTCCCGATTGGACTGCGTTGCTTTGTGAGTTCGTTTAAAGCCCTCAGGACCTGCCACAGAAAATTTCACGCGTTTAGGAGCGATCGCTTCCCTGACCGGAGATTTGTGGGATACCGGAGAGCCCTGTTCACGTTGCGAAATCAGCCTGCTGTGTGGCTCTTTACAGCAGCGTTGAGAAGGAGATGAAAATCACGTCAAGGCACATTTGCTTAATGGTCCGCAATAAAAGAGCCCTCTTTATTTTAACCCTAGGACCAACTGACATGAAATCACTTGCTCTATGCTGCTCTGACAAGGACTTTTTCCAGAGAGCATACCTTCACTTTAGCTGTTGAATGCTGGGTGTAGCGTAATACCGAGAGAAAGGAGATGACTAAAATACTTAGATACACTAATAGCCTTATTTTGGAGGAATGTTAACTGCTGCGTTTGAAATTCTACTACTAAGAAGTTGTGCAAAGTTTAAAATCACACACATTCAGACCATCCTTCAAATAAAAAAACATCAACCTGGATGCAGAAACTAGTCAGTAACTGCATCCTGCTCTATCAAGTGTAGCGCCCTTAAGCAGCTGTAATTAGCATACTACAGTATATGTTTTAAGACGTTTAGTTGAAAGTGTCTGCTAACTTTACAAACCACAGTGTCATTTTATTATATCAGCGATATTATGGAATGTTTTTGTGCAATATAATTAATTTAGGGCTATCAGTGATTACAATCATCTCTTTTAAAGAGCACAAAACTAATGCACAAGATCTGGACTAGAATAGCGGAACCCAAATTAGAAATATGTCCGGCCTTTGACCTTTAGCAGGGTATTTCTCAGTGAGAAGCAGCACTTCGATTAGACCAAATTTTAGAGTGCAGGGCTGGTTTAGAAAAGCCATAAAATGCGGTTGAAAAGGGAAGGAGTGGATCTGTTTCTCATAGCTTGAAAGTTTATGCACACCTTGGTTTCCTTGGTCTTCAGTAGTTTTCAGTCATCTTTATGGGTTTTGTTTTATTATTCATCAGAGTGTAAGTGCTAATAGACTTGGAAAAGTGAAATGATCTTATGACAATCTTTTTTTTTATGTATTACAGTATTATAAACTCTGAGATGTATTGGCCTTTGATCCCTAAGGCCCTTAATATAATGGAACAGTTTGTCGTATGTCCTTCATAAAAACACACACATTTAAACCTCAAAATTAGAAAGAAAAAGAAATTATGGTTTACATAAAAATATTTTAGGACCATTCATATTTGGAGTTCTGACATTATCATGAAACATTATTGTTATTATAATGGCACATCAGTACATCTCCCTTCTAAAATTCCCATTACTGTAATCTGTTCAGACATTTTACATTATTTTTCTTTTAGTAATTCCCATTATTCTCAGCAATGATTCATTCTCATTACTGTAAAACAGTATTTGTATTATTTCATGGGGAAAAAAATCAGAGTTGAATAATTAAATTTAGCTTAAAGGCAGTAAAAAAAATAGTGTTATTTTGCTTTTTTTTCCCCTTACATTACTAGTAATGACATTTTACAGTCTTTATATTATAAAATAAAACAGTTTACTTGAATACAATTTAAAAAATGCGTTTCTTTGAGCAAAATATTTCTGCCTTTTGATTTTGGGGTCAAATATGAGCGATTCACCCTAAAATGTTTGTAATGGTCAAGGAACCCAGTCAAACTTTCTTCATGTTCATGACATTTCAGCCCGATTCTTCACTGAGTTCTGTCCACGATCAGCTATGTAGTTTGTTACATATCCATGTGTTCCCTCATTACATAAGCAATTGTCAGATTCTCTGACGCTAATAGGGTTTAAATTGGCGAAACCATATTACTGAAGCCTAACGTAACCTAGAAATCCAATTAAATTGCCCATGATGCTGATTTTGTGTCTGCTCACATTGCCGGATTCTACAAGGAAGGAAAAACGGTGACAGAACCGTTATCCACCTTACCCCAGACAGACTGTTCAGCATCTGTGTTTTTCTGTGATTTGACTGCGACGCTGTGCACATTGTTCTTAAGCTAAGCTAAGCTTCATTGCCCAAATCTGCTTTGGCTCCCTGCATCCTGTTCTTGCTCTTTTCTTTCCGTCTCATGTTTTCGTTTGGATACTGTTGAAGTGTTCAGGAGCCTTGTTCACCCAGCCTCAGTGTTTGTCATACAAAGAGCTTTGAGAGCTTTTATCTGCTCATTTGTGCACTTTGAAAAGAATTCAGAAGCACAAACGCTTACGTTGTTCATGAACTCAAGCAGGATCTCACCTCGTTCGCTCACTGCCGAGTGAACATCTGGCATCGATCCACCCTCGGTGTGAACTTTAATACCATACTGTGGTGTTCACCCTCGATCATGGTTTGTCTGGATGTCGACCGCAGAAGGAGGGGGTCAGTTTTCGATTGGAAATATTTTGTATGTATTGCCAATCTGTTTTTGGTAGTGATGTGTTTGGATCTCTTGTTTGCCAAAGAGAGAAAGTTTAATTTTGCAACATTTAAGGCAGCAGGTAATTGGCGTCCTTCCCAGGTGGGGAAGGGTAACGTAAGTCTGAAGGATCGGACTGAACGGAAAGCGTAAAGGGAGCTCTAGAGAATATGAGCTGGACAGGTGATGAGTTCTCTCTCTCTCTCTCTCTCTTCTTCTCAAAAAAGAAAAAGGAAAAACATTGCTCCTTTGATTTTGTGTTGTGTGAAAGTTTTAACTGTTTAAAGACAACTCAGTTTTCGTAAAACGAAAGAAAAAAAGAACTAAAAACAAGTGGGGATGCATCTGCCAGAGAGATTACTGTAATCAAGGAAGAAGCCTTGTTACATTTACGGAGAAAACTGCCAACAAGTTCTGGTATTTGGAGCCTATTTTATTCATTGTTGGTGTGTCGTTGTGCTTATTGTAAATATATGTCTTTTCGATTGTTCTTTTTTCCTCTGGGGTGGTGAGGGATCAAGACAAGGGCTCGGGTTCACCTGCGAAAGAAAAGAGGGAGATGAATACAGAGTATTTTGTTATTGTCCAATCCAAGGGTGACACAGTATGTATATATCTATATTGTATATATGTGATGAAAATGCGTTGGCTTTTTGTGTGACACTACCTTTTACCTGTACTATGGTTCAACATTCAGTGTTTCAGTGTTTATATTCTATTTTAATCTTTGTTTTCTGTTTGATTTTGTCCTGGTCATTACTTGTATTTGTTGTTTCCTTTATTTTCCCCTTTTCGTCCATTTTGTTATTGCACGGTTTATTACTTTTGCTGTCCAATAAGATGACACGGCTTCTCTTTGTATTGGTTTTAGTGCTGTAAAATAACTCTGAAGTGTCATTAGGATTGTCAATACCACCCCTTCCCCCGATATGCATGAATGGCACTTAAAGAAATAAAATATGTTAACTTCACTGTGGAATCTTTGCTGCTTCGTGATATTTATTTCATATACATATCCTTGCAAAAACTGAAGTACTTGCACAGAATACTCCAAAACGCCTAAAAATTGAATTTGATATATATAATTTGATTCTCAAATATTATGGGGTTTTTTTTTAGATTTATTTTTGCCGTTTTTGCCTTTATTGTGACAGGACAGTGTAGAGATGACAGGAAGCGAAGTGGGAGAGAGAGAGGAGGTCCTCGAGCTGAGATTCGAACTCGGGATGCCTGTATTTCTTATATTTTTAACGAATATTAACCTCTATTTTTCAGAAATACTGACAGAAAATTCATCAATGATATATATAGCATTCACCGTATGTAAACGGGTTTTTGCAGCATCTGTCACTTGACACAGTGCTCTCAAGTTAAAAAGTTAAACTTTAAAAAAGAAAAAAAGTGCATCTACAGGATAGATTTGTTGACATACAGATATCTATAGATGTTTTCGTTCCATGTGAATGGTACTTGCTTTTTTTCTCACACTTGCTTTTTCTCATTTCATAAATGGTATTAAAACTGCCCGAAATATTTGTGCTGTGTTCATCTTGTTGCTAGGCCAAGTGCTTTGTGGGAAAACAGGTACAATTATAAAATTAATTTCAATTAAATTTAAAAGATTTATTGCCCACGCATTTTTTTTTATGAGCAGCCATGTAATATGTAGGATAAGACATTCAGTGTCCACGTATGCGGTGTCAACTTATTTCATGAAACATCAAAGCAACTGACCCTAAAATGAACTTTTAAGGTTGCAATCTCACATTAAACTTCAAATCCGATTAATTTTTCATCAAAGCGTTCCGTACACGCTGTAGTCTGGTACGGTACACATGCGGCTGAGCCTTGGCTGTCACAATGGGTTAGAACAATAAGCTTGTTAACTAGCCTGTTTTTGCTCAGGAGATCTAGGTTAGCCGTCTTGCTTTTTCAGTAAAAACCTGTTTCTGATGACAAGACAGCCGTTGACTGGATGTTCTTAGCGTTGAGAAGCTCTCTCAAGATGCTGCAGTGTTTGAAGCCCCCTACAAGTTTGCGTTTCCTCACACTTATATATTTGGTGCACTCACCATGGTGCTTTGAAACCGTTTAAGTCTTTGTAATCCCAGTTTCCTCCTGAAGAGCACACATAGTCCCTTGGTATTTTACCGACCTATTTTGAATTTGACAATCTGGTGCTGTCACTGACTTGCCGGTCTACTTCTAGTATCTGAAGCTTACGTTCAGAGCCGCTTTAAAATAGATTTTGTTAGTAAATACACACACGCATCGACCCCTCGGCCCCATCAGATCAATCTCTTCAACTCAATGGCATCTTGGAAGATGTGCTGCGGGAATCCTTTTTAAAAAGCTCTTTCTCTGTCGTGTCAAATTTTAAACTTTGAGTAAGGCTTTGGAAGGTCTGTCAGGACAGCAATCTGATCTAAATTGCTGCAAAATAACACAAATATTACTCTGATCACTG